CAGCTGCCTGGGGAGTGTGCACGGGCTTGTTTCTAAACTTCTGTTCTGAAGCCTGGGCAGGTTATACTTCGTCTCCTAAAGTCCCTACGTCATCACCTTTTCTCCATCCATTGTCATCAGATTGGGAGCTTGGGGGGTGGGCAGTGTGGAGGCATATCCCTTCTCCCAAACCCCCAGGGCCTTGGAGGTAGGGGGTGTTGGAAAGCACGCGTGTGGGTGTGGTTTGCTGGCGTCCTGTGCACCAAAGCTTCTGGGTGTAGCTGGTGGGGGCTGCTTCTCCAGGGCGCTCTGGCTGCTCGGACCACATGGGCCCCCGTGGGGCCTCCTCGGGACCGCGGGCTCCTGGCGCTCCGTGCAGGCCTCACCGCTGTGCTTCAGCCTTCGCGTGCCATTCCGCAGCTCCGCCCATTCCTGTTCAACTTCATGGGCTCGCCTGCCCGGAAACAGCCCCTTCTCGCTTTCTGGGCTTCCTGCTGCCCCCCACACCCCTGTCCCTGCACCCCACATTTCAGCCAGAGTGATTCTTCTAGAACAGAAGTCAGACCTTGCTCTGTTCCTTCTTAAAACCCTACAGTGGTTCCGTGTTCCTTCAAGATAAGGTTCCGGATGCAGGCTGCAGGCGCTGGGCCAGTGCCCCAGGCCCTTGGGACTTCCCACCCTGCCATGTGCCCTGGTCACACACGCCCTAGCCTGGGCTCTCTCCTCTTTGCTCTTCAGGGTTTGACTTAGGGCTCATGTCCTCCAGGAAGCCTTCGCGACACCCAGGATTGGGTTAAGTTCTCTCCCAAAGCAACCTGCTCCCCACTGTAGCACTTGTCACTTAGACACGGTCACTGATTACTTGATCTGCAGCCCCTGAGACTGGGGACCTCAATCGTACTTTGAAAGTCCCTCCCTGGCTGCCTTGAGCCATGCTGTGAGTTGGGATGGCCAGGTTGGTGCCTGCCAGTGAGTGGCAGCCCCCTGCAAGCCAAATACAGAAAGTGAGAGTAAGCGTTGGGAAACCCTTACACGCACTGCCATGGCTGTGACCTCGGCAGGCGAGTTTATGTTGTACAGGAGTGTGGGGCGGTGATGGATTGGTCCTGTGCCACAGAAGCCCCAGCCCGAGGCCACTGGGCCCCAGAACTGCTGCCAACAGTCAGGCCCGGGCCTTACGTGACAGGAATTCGGTTTGCATGTCACCATGGCGACTCTCACTGTCTTGTATCTTTTGTTCATTTAATGATGTGATCATATCAGACATCTCTAGTGACCTCGCAAGGGTCACGTGAGTGATCATTATCTCTTGTGCTCTCTCGGGCTGTTTTGTGTTCTTGGCAACATCAGTGCTTTAGGGTGAGTTGTGTTGTCAAAACTCTGTCATTCTCCTTTTCAGGCTTGTCAGGCCTGTGTCAGGGTGATCCTGCGGATAACTGTCTTGTGCTCATGGAGTTGGCTGTGCACCAGTTTAAATGCTGGCCCACAGACTGCTGGTTGTCAGGTAGCCAGAGGCCCGGAAGCGTTGCTGCCGCCGCTTCCTGTGTTGTGAGCGCTATGCTTTCCACAGCTGAGTCCCACGAGGGTCCCGACAGATGTGGGTGCTTCGTAGGGTGACGAGCGCAGGGATTTAAAACTGTGCTGAAGTACAAATGTACAGTAAGTCCCCGACTTACGAACATTCGCGTTGCAAACTTTCGCAGATAGGAACGGCCCTCGCATTACGAACATTTGTAGATGCAAACACATCGTGGAAGTAGCTCGCATGTGTGAGCTCAGGTGTGGGCCAAATTCCGTCTTGCCCTCCGTCTCCTATGACTGATGGTCCTTCAGCTCCACCGTCTCCCACCTGCCCTCGCTCCTCCAGTTAGTAACGCTCCTGTCCGTTCATTCCACGCGCTCCCCTATATGCCAGTTGCTGTACTGTACCACCATTTTAAGGTAACTGTAAAAGTAAAAATCGTTTGTTTACAGTACTTTTGTGTGTGTGTGTTTAGTTTTTTTATGCTTTACACTGTATATTCCTGTCAGCGGTGTGTAAGACTCACTTTGTGGGACTTACGAACGAGTCGAACTTACGAACAAATCCAACTTATGGCCGTCCTCCCAGAACGGGACTCATCTGTCAGTCGGGACTTAGTGCTATCTCCTTTATAAACTCTGAGGCGAAGGTAGACCACCGCTGAGCTGTCTGCGAGGCTGGCTGGCTCGTGTCCTTATAAGGAATTCATTCTATAACCTGGTTTCATTCACGTGGTTCCTTTACCAACCTAGGCCCATGTCCTTCAAATCAGGGGTTATGTCCTCAGGGACAGGACAGACATGTTGGAGTGGACATGAGGACCACAGGGAAGGGCAGGCCCTGATGGGAGCCTTTTCCTGGGTGGCTGGGGCCTGATGGCACACTGATTTGGAGGCCTGCCCATCTGGTAGGGAGGCCACCCAGGGGGCAGACTACCCACGCCCATAGGGCATCTTGCTTAGCATCTTTGCCCCAGTCCCAGCCTCAACTAGACCCCAGTAAGGTCGGGGTCTGGACGGACAAGCCCCAGACGCCCATCAGGTCACAGAGACACTCACACCATGACCCAGGAGCCACCTCAGCCTCTCACCTTGTATCAGCTGTCTATTGCTGTGTAACAAACTTAGCAGCTAAGATCAACCCGTCTGTTCTCTCACGGTTTCCGTGGGTCAGGACTTTAGGCAAAGCTGAGATGGGCCTCTGCTCAGGGCCTCACAGGGCTGCCGTCGAGGCGTCAGCACCGCGTGCTTTCTAGACCTCAGGCCCTCTTCCGACTCAGGTGGGGGTTGGCAGTGTTCACCTCCCGCTGGGATGGGACTGGGCCCTGTTGGCCTGCTGGCTGCCAGCTGGGTCTGCTCTCAGCTGTTAGACAACGCCCGCATTCCTGGTCATGTGGCCCCCTCACACACACACACACACACATGGCAGCTTGCTCTTTCGAGGCCAGCAGGGTAGTCTCTGACTTCTTGTCTCTTTTTTAAAGGGCTCGCCTGATTAGGTCAGGCCCACCCAGAACTATCTATCTTTTGATTAACTCAGGATCAACTGACGAGTGCCCTTCTTTATTTGTGCATTTCTCTTTGCCGTGTAGTGTAACCCAGTAACGGGAGTGGCATCACCCTACTACTCACGGCGGTGCCCACCCTCAACGGGAGAGGGCTGTGTGGACAGGGGCTGGACTCCTGGGACCACCCTAGAATTCTGCCTGCCATGCTCCGCTCCCCCTCTGTCCCCCTGGCAGCCGCTTTGCCCTTTTTCTCACATTCTCACTCCCCCTCCCCTCTTCCTCCACGCCCAGCCTTCTCTTTTCCCGTTCCCTGCCCCGTTCCTCCTCCCCACCCCCGCTGACCACGACGGGCTGTGGCTGCCTGGTCTACACTGGCCTAGACACTGAGTCAGCAGGCTGGCTGGGGAGCGGCCGCCCTCGGTGTGGACGCGGTCCTCTCTGGCCCGTCCGTGGGGCTCTGGGAAATCGGTGTGGCTGACGTCAGTCTGGGGAACCTTCCCTTCCCCTCCCCTCCAGCTTTGCCCTTCACACCATGCAACACACTGTAGAAAACTGAAAATGAGGAACAAGGCGTCGAAGTTGTGATGCAGCTGTGACTGGTAACACCCCTGATTTGAAGGACCTGGGCCTGGGTTGGTAAAGCAACCACACAGACGAGCCACGTTATAAAATAAATTCCCTATGATGACACAGCCAGCCAACCTCGAAGACAAGATGCACTGTGGTCCATCTTCCCGTGGATTAGAATTTAGAAAGAATAGGAATTTGTCATTTAACACAAGTATGGGGTGAGGAGACGAAAGTCCCTGACACCAGGACCCGCCATCCTGACATGAGCCTGTGGTGCTGGGTGCCGGCTGTGGGGACGCGCTGCACCACCTGACACTTGGGCCACCCTCTGCGTGCCCGCCCCTCTGACCACAGCCGAAGCCTGCTGGCCGTCGCGCATGGCCCCACTTTAAGATTATTTAGGGAGCAGTGAGACGTCTGGAAAAATGTGTCTGTAGAACTGGTGAACGAATTGCAAGTGTACCCCTGAAAAAATTAAGTGGGAAGAAGGAAGGGTTTGTGTGACACCAGAAAACCTGGCCCAGCTACACCTGTGCCACTCCCCTCACCGGCTGCTGTGTCACCTGAAATAGTGAATAAACATGAGATTTGTAAAACGTGCAGCAGCATTCCAGTGCCCAGGTCACTGGCGTTGGTGGGCCCTGATCACGTGTTGTAAATGTCCTCAAACAGAGTGTGGCAGAACAGCCACAAAGGGACGGTTGAATGGAGGCAGCTTGTTTTTAACCTGTGAGTTCTGACAGCTAGAACCGTGCCACTCTGGTCTTACTCCTGGGGAAAGATGGGCTTCCCGCGCTGCAGGTGGTGATGGAGATGCTGAGGGCGGCAGCATGTGGTGAGAGGAGACCGGACAGGAGTTCTGGGAAGCGGGGTGGAGTCCCAGCCCTGTGTCCTCTGGCGCATTTGACAGCCTCTCATGCTCCGCTCCCTGCTCTGTAAAGGCGGGGCTGAGCCAGAGGCCTGGGGGCCTGCCCAGCTCTAATGCTTTACTTCGTGCATTAGTCTGTTGTTGCCCCAGAGGAGGGCAGACTGCCCAGCTCTGCCACTTACAGGCTGTGTGACCTTGGGCAAGTTACTTACCCTCTCTGTGCCTTGGTTCCCTCACCTGTAAACTGGGGGTGGTAACAGTATCTACCTAGTAGAGCTGTTGCAAGGGGTACATGGCATAATATGTATAAACTGTTAGAATAGTGCCCACTGGCATTTAGCAAGGGCTCTGTGAATGGCGGCACTCATTATTACTGTAACTGCTAGGACTGTCACTCCTGATGACCCTTTTAACTCTTAGAAGTCTGTGACACATTACTGTGTATTTATTACAGACGCTGAACAGGGTTTTCTTTCAACAGCACCCTGTGAACCATGTACTGGAAAGGATCTCTGCTGGTCTGTCTTCTAATCACATTTCTGGGTCTGTTTCAGGCGGAGGCCAGGCTCGCGGCGAAGCGTGCAGCCCGCGCCGAGGCCCGCGAGATCAGGATGAAGGAGCTGGAACGGCAGCAAAAGGAGGTAACATGCAGTTCTCCGTTGCTTCTTTTCTCAGGTGTTTTTCTCTGTGGTAGAGTGTGCACACGCAGGGGCACCTATCCATTTGGCGTTGCTCGTGATCAAAACACACTTGTTCCTCTGACTTTCGTTCAAAGTCAGGCCAGGGAGGGTGCATAGCACGGATGCCAGACGTGCCTGCCGCAGACGCCCGGCCTGTGGGATCCGGACACGAGCCTCCTGCACAAAGCCACTTGCCTGCGTGGGTCCTCCCGGCCCGGCTGTCTAGCTGAAAGAGGTGCCGGCTCTGAACTTCAGAGTCTAACTCCTAACCGAGAATCCCCATCCTCTGAACTAAAAACGTGAAAGAAGAAGAGAGGATTCGTTTTTAAACCAACCAGACTGTTTTGTTTAAAAGTTATTTCCTCTGCGGTTTTTATATGTTTTAAGGTTTCATGAAGCCTGAAGCCTGCGTGTGATACAGAATGCAGAATAAACACCATGGGTGAAATAGCTAGGGGAGAAATTGTCCTCCCCTCCCCCGGAAAATGGATGATGTGTTTACACACCTGTTAATGGCGTTTGCTACTTATTTTCATAATCTTGGGCAGGAGCCAGAAGTCACGTGGACAGCCAAGGGCTCTCTAACTGGCAGGCAGAGCAGTGAGCTTTTCTATGACCTTGAAGTCACCTGGGATGTAGCGAGTCCCTGTCCAGGGGCCCCTGGCCTCCTGTGGGCCACACCCTGTGTGAGCACCCACGCCACGTCCCACCCAAAGCTTTTCTTGTTCAGGAGATTTGAATTTAATGTGTTGGAGAGAGGCAGCCAGCCGCCTTCCCCCAGGCTGGTTTTCAGGCAGTCTTGTTTGGTTTGCATCGCCAAATTTGAAAAGTCGGGCCGATGTTTTAAAACTTGTGAGATTTAGATAGAAATCTGTATTTCCAGTGTCTCTTAAAACCAGTGTGAATTCTGCCACACTCCCAAGGTGGCGTTCCCGCCAGGGCGAGGCCCCAGCCACCAGCCCCAGTCCCTCCCGGTCACTCTCTGCCTGTGGAGTTGGTCATTCCTGGTGGGAATGTGTAAGTGGGGAGGGGCACGGCCAGATTTGGGGAGGGGCACTCTTCCTCGTGCTTTGAAGAACGGTCAAAGATTACTAGAAACCCAAGCCCAGGACGTTAGTCGGGCGAGTCCCAGCCATGGAAGGTAGGGGCCACAAGGCAGTCCCTACCATGATGGGGACGGAGGGGACATGGCTCCTTGAGAGACAGGCCACACTACACTCCAGCAGTTGTTGGAAGATGACTGCATTTTAGTTATTACTTGTCCTGTGTTTCCACGTGAGTAAAGACTAAGTAAGTATTCAAAAGTGGGTCCCCCCTTCCCCTCTTTGTTGGAAATACAAATGGAGTTGTAAGCAGACTCTGGTTTTTATGATGTTTTGCCTCCAGAGTTAATTTAGTACTTTAAGTTTTTGTATTTTTTTCTCTTGGTTTACTCAAAGAAGAATGGGGTTAGCATTTTCTCAGGGCCTTCTCCCCAGAATTGCGTTTATCATTTTAGAGTTGGAAATGGACACTCTTGTAGTTGCGTGTTAATTATTTGGACTTTGAAACTTCTTAAAGCCTGGTGATTGACAGGAAGCGCCTCCCCATTCCATTATCTTGGTGAAGGGAGAGGATGAACCCTGATTGATGCCCATCCGTGACCTCCGGGCTTGACGCCAACCAGGAGCTGACCGTTATTCAAGGAAGCAACTCAAGACACGGATAGGGCTGGGGAGAAAAGGAGCAGATCTCGTTTGTTGATCTTCGTCACGTGACTGCCTGACCAAGGAGCCATCCGAGCACCAGGCAGCTTCTGCACTCGGACTCCGGGATAAACCGTGACCCTTGGCGGCCCCCTAAAGGAACGCTGTGTGGCCTAAGCTGCCTTTTAATAATAGATGTTGTGATGACAAGCTGCTTTTTCTTTTTTTTTTTTTAAAGATTTTATGGGGAATTGGGGGAGGGGAACAGTGCTGGGGAATTGGGGGAAGGGGAACAGACAAGTTGCTGTCCTTCTGTTCTTCAGTCTAGTTGTGGAGGATGTTGCTTCACTGGCCCAAGTTGGCACCATCATTGCGCTCTTCCCGGGCGAGGCAGATCAGTCGCCGGCTTCTGGATGGCCGATCACGACGGCTTGAGGGCCGCTCATGCTGGCTGCTGGCTACACACAGTAGCTCATGGCAACCCACTGCAGCAGGGGCTGCAGCAGGGGCTGCAGCCTACGCCATCACCCGCAACTCACGGCAGCCCAGCTTCAGGTCGAGCTGTTGTTCAGCATCTTAGCTGTGGAGGGCGGTGTCCCTGGCCCTCATGTGAGATCCGAACCGGGGCCCTCTGGCGTCCCAAGCCAGTTCTTAACCAATGCACCACTCGGCCGGCCCAAGTTGCTTTTTCAAACTGTCTGATGTCAATGTCTCTTTTGAATATTTCTGTTCGTTCAGTACATGCTTCCAAGCCAACTGGGAGGAGGACCCCGCGAGACCCTCCCCTCTGCTTAGAAACCGGAAGGGCTGGGAGGCATTAGAGTGCTCACACCATGGGCATCAGGGTGCTCACACCGTGGGCGTCAGGGTGCTCACACGTGGCCTTAGGGTGCTCATACGTGGGCTTAGGGTGCTCACGCCATGGGCCCCGTGTCTCGGGATGCATCATCATGTTTGGGGGGGTGTCATTCTCCTGCACCAGGAGCCCCCCACTACTCTCTCAGCGGCTTATCTGGTTTTAATCAGCTTCCCCTGGCTCTCCAACTGTTCCGCCTTTTTTATATTAAGATCTCAAAAGAGTTGTAGAAGAATCTCCCCCAGTTTTTGTTGCCTTGCCAGGTTTTGCCACATTTGATTTAGTTTCAACGCTGAACCTCCTCTCCTCATGTTTGTAAGAATTCCTGGTGGCCTGTGGCTGTCCCTTCAGCTCTGCACCAACAGACTCAGGAGAAAGATGACAGGGGGGCCCTACCTTTGGTTCTCATGAACCTCTTAGTAACCATTTGTAATGTTTCTCACATTTAAGAGAAAGTTACTTTCACCAAAAATGTAAAACTTCTGCAAAATCAAGGCAAAAATGGAGTACGAGTACAGAGTATGTATATGTAGCTGTCTTCCACACCACACATGTAGATAAAATATATTCTATCCTTAATTATGAACAGAATTGATTTAAATACACCCTGGATAACATAAACAGATGCTCACAGAGTTCACTGTAAAAAGTTCTTGATTTAGAAAATAAAAGATTAAGTGGAATTAAGCCAAGAAACCATCTATGTGAACATCCTCCTGTAAAAACCAAGCACGGTTTCTCCCTTTGAGTCACAGGAAGTCTTCTGTTTCATTTTAATTCAGCAACATCAGAGTAATCCTGCTTTTCAAACAGCAGAAATGCAACTGTTACCCAAAGATGGGAAACTTTAAGCCTTGGCCATTTAGCTTTGGTAGCATAGAATGGGGGCGCGGCATTAGGAGGGGGCCTTGGTAGCTCTCACCGCCCCTCGAGGCAGCCCCATTGGGCACACAGGGAAGGGGAGCCCCAAGGAGGTAACCCCTCATGCTGGGGGTAGCAGGTGGTGGCACCGATATTCTGACCCAGGCTGAGCACTGGTCAAGCCCTGCTCCTGGGCAGTGTGATCCGCTCGGGTGTTTGCTGCCAGCTGGGGACCTGGGGCTTTGCAGCAGCCCTACACACATGTTAGATGGCATTAGAATGGTGAAAGTCTTCATTCTAACAGTATGTTTCACTTTCATAGTAAAGACACTGAAATGGTTCACAGGAATCAGAGTCCGGGGACTGTCTCCCACACAGACAGTTGGGTGATTTGGGTCCTGTCAGCATTCAGGTCCCCAGCAGCATGCTGTCAGACACGAGGCAAGGCTGCCACGTGTGGGTTTGAGCTGGGAGAGGACCAGGAGGACAGCCCGGCTTCGCTGTGAGAAAGCACCTTGGGTGACATTACCTTATCCGTCCTGTGCTCACACTCCTCGGGGACAGGCAGTGACACAGTGGAGGCACCTTCTCTGCTGCACTCCAGCTCCTCCTGGGGTCAGGTCCAGGCCTGGTGACCGGCCCCACACTGAGCGGTCAGGGTGAGCAGTGACAACCCGCTGTGTGTTCAGGAGGAAGGAGACAGACGAACTCTGGTCAGCACAGCAAGTGAGGACGAAGCCTGGGTGGCAAGAAGCCATCCTTGGGAAGAGAGCAGAGCGGGCAGGGGTGCAGGACGGGGGCCGAGGCCCTGGCTTGTCCCAGGGTTTAGAGCGATCTAACTAGCCCAGCAGCAGCTCTGACTTACACAGACAACAATTTTGCTGTCATAGATTTAGGGTCTCTGAAATATGAGAATGGTGCTATTTAGAGTTTATGTCTGCTTCTTCAAAAAAGAAATCTGAAAGGTTTTAAAAATAAAATAGAGGAATCTTTTATTAGTAGTCCAAAAGGACTGGGGGTGGGGGCAGAGCAGAGGGGCCCAGCGGGGACTTCCTGGAGCCCCTGACATTGGCTGCACTGGGCCTGGTACTGTCACTTACAGTCGGTGAGGGGGCACTTCCGAGGTGTAGTTACAGCTGAGCCGATCAGACCTTAATCGATAGTTTTACCCCCAGCTCAGAAAATAGCCGAGCCGAGATTGGAATCTAGATCTGAGAAAGCTGCAGAGCTTCTGGTCTTCCCTGTACACACTCTGCCTCAAAAGCAGAAGGGTCATCCGCGATCACAGGGCAGAGTCGGCATGGTAACTGTGGATGAGAATTGGCGGTGAGCGGCGAGCATGCAGGCACTTGCCGCAGAGGGGAAGGAATGAGCCGCGTAATCTTAGTCACTTTACGAGTGGAAGCACACCTTGAAAAACAAGTTTTGTTCCTTGGGATGAACTTGAGACACAGTGTAATCAACACAAAACAGGCAACTTTGTCGGCAAGACTTTTCCAAGGACACGGAGGCAGTAGCTGTTCGGCTGCTGTTTCTGCTTGGACCCCAGTCCGAGTGGGGGTGGGGAGTGTACACGCGTGTGCACCTGCATACACGTGAACGGTTGTGTGCACATCTAGCGAGAAGAGTGCTCGAAGCTTCAGCTTAGGGGCGTGCTCTGGGGACTCCGGGAGGGGTGCAGACAGCACCGCCCAGCGTCTCCCCTGCGTGTTATTACAGGAGCTCACCCAGGGCGAGCTCTTACAACCTCGTAGCCTGGCCCCTGGCATTTTCAGTTGTTCATTAAGTGGGAACGAATGTGCTTTGGAAGAGCGGTGTTGCCCTAGTAGGGCTGATGTTTTGGTGTAAAACTTGAGAAATAGGATCCTGTCTTCCTCAGGTGACGAGCCAGCCGTCTCCACACAGGTGTTTCTGAGAAGCGAGGCTTTCCTTGAGAAGGAGGTCAGGTCAGCTGAAGTGATGCCTGGAGGAGCTGGGGGTGCAGACCAGGAAGCTGGTGACACTGTTTGGGGGGTTTTGGAGGTGGGCTTTGGTTGAAGCCACACTAGGGTCTTCCGAGGGGAACATGGAGTGTGCGCAGAGAGGAGAGCAGAGCAGAGCGAGCCGTGTATGAGGAATGCAGGCCTGTGAACTGGCTGTGGGTTGACCAACCGCCCTGGCCAGCCCCACCGCCTGCAGGGGCCCATTGCACCCGCTGTAGTGGTTCTTGTCACCAGTGCAGGGAGTGGGACCCGACTACCATGCTTCCCTGAAAATAAGACCGGGTCTTATATTAATTTTCACTCCAAAGGACGCATTTTATTCATTTATTCACATACAAAAATCTACATTTATTCAAATACAGTATGTCTGGCTGACAGTCTTAACTGGGGCTTATTTGGGGGTAGGGCTTATATTACGAGCACCCTGAAAATCATTCTAGGGCTTATTTTCCCAGTTAGGTCTTATTTTCGGGGAAACACGGTATGTTAGCCATGCTTTGGGAGCTGTTTAAAAGGATGGTGAGGACCCATTAAGGAAGAAGAGTGTGTAGGGAACTTCACGGGAACCTTTTACTGCGTATGAGAACCCACACTACTAACAGGAAAAAATGGCAGCGTGGTGGTCAGGGTGCATCTCGTTCATTGCTACCGGCCAGATACACAGTGTGTTGGAGATGCGGCGTTTTATACAGTTGTGGTGTTGAGTATATTCACCTGTATATTCACCTGTGCTCTCACCCACAGAAGGCTAGAAGAGCCAAGTTTTTTAATCTCACAGTTTGGCTGTGCTTTGAACGATGTCTGACTCAGTGTTTTATCGAATGAATGAATGAATGAATGAGTGAACAAATGAATGAAGCAGATATCTCAGTCTCACCTAGTGATGCCTACAAAAGTAGGAGAAATTTCTGAAGCAAGCTGATAAGTCCAAGTATGATAATAAGCTTTTTTTTAAAAAAAAAATGCTTGTTAGATTCTCGCAAGCACTCTGTGTAGCTGGACTCTTCCTGGTATTCTGTTTATATCCACAGGACACAATATGAAAGCATCTTTTATGCTGTTTGTGAATTTGACTGATTGACTTTCCAATTAAGTTTCTGTGCCTTTTTTTGTTGTTGTTGTTACACTTTTATCGCTGTGGACAGAAATTTTCAATTGAAGATGAACTACTGTTTCGCATTTGTGGTAACAGGACGTGCAGACTAATGTCATACAGACATTAGGTCACAGCAGGACTCTGGGAGAGGACATTTGCCCGTGGTTCACCAGTGTATCTAAAAAAGAATGTCAAATAAGTTACTAAGTTACTGGTTCTTTTAATGAGACTTCAAAAGTTTTTTTATTCATGTTTTACCAATTATTCACAGGTGTTTTTCCAATATGGCTTTCCTTCATATTTCTAGGTACTTACTGAACCTTTCTCTCTGATGTTTCTACTCCTTTAATTGGATTTTCTGTCTCTTTTTCTGTTTCTCTTGCCCTTCTCTAGATCTATCAGGTTCAAAAGGTAGGCTCCTCCTTCTTTATTTTCTTATTTGCATGTACTGTTACAGTTTTTCCTTGCCAAGGGCCTGGTCACCTTTCAGAAATAATGCCTGTCACTGAAAATACATGGAAGTTCTTACTGCTGCTTCTACTATTTGTTTATGAATTGATGTGAACAAAATGCTTATTTAAGTCCCCACTTCTGTCTCTGCGAAAAGCAACTAACTGTCCATCAGGCACACTTGTGTGTACTGAATGCTTTTCTGATCTCCGTTTTTCTCAAGAAATTTGAAAATTGTGTCTTTGAGGAAAAAAATGAATTCTAAGAGAGAATTAAGTCACATTTCAGAATTTTGGAAACCTTTTGAAATCAGATATTTAAAGAGAAAAATTATCCTTCCATATAATTTTATTAGAAGACTTTTCAAATGTCAATGCAAATTACCATACATTAAGAGATTATTACATACTATTAAAAAATCTGAGTGAAAAAAAAGACGATGACATAACAATCCAATCCAATAGCTTAAAATACCCTGCCTGCTCTCCATACTATTCAGAGCGCTAATGCGCATCTGTTTCCTAGTATTTTGTGGAAGCAGTTGAAGTTCAGAAATAAATACACCGAGCAGGCCAGACACGGAAAATACAAAGAAAAACAACCCAGTCAGTGATTCCTGATTCAGCGCTAATGAAGGAAGGAGTGAGCAGTTTCTGAGCATTTATGGAATGTACACAGTGGCTTTTTCCCATAAATGAATTTAGTTTGTTACGTATGACACCTATTACAGTTTCTTTTCTAAAATTTATTTAGTTTCTAGATAAAGAACAACAATGTTTCTCTTTTAGAGCTAAGGAAAAAATCAAAACAAGGTAACTTAATTTCAGAGGTTAGAGGTTAGGCCCTTTAAACACACTATCAGTAAATTTAAAATTCTATCCTTGAATTCCTGTACTAGTTATAGACCTGGATTGCCTTTGCTTCCTGCCACCCCCCTGCCCACTGTCAGTTAGGAAGGCACCAGAGTCTATTGTACTTTGCTCATGTTTGTAGGGGTCAAGTATTGAAATGTGTATTGAGGCTAGAGCCCAATCACACTTCCAGTCTCGGTAAGAATTGAACAGGTAACAGTGAAGGCTGGCACGGTTGGGAACCCTTGCTGTGACTGACAGAGCAGGGCGTCAGTGTCCAAATCAGTGTCCAAAGCCTAGATAGCAGACTGTCAGGCCTTTTCCACTCTGACTCATTCATTTCTTACCTGATCGCTGTTACTTTATTTTTAGTAACTCACCAAGGATACACTGTTAGAACTTTGTCAGAATGGTAACTTGCTTACAAAGTAAAACTAGTCCTCAGAGGAAAAGCAGATACACATTTTATAATAAAGATGGGTCCAAGGTCAGGGAAGCCTTCCCTTGTCACTAAGATTTGTGACAACGAAAAGGAGGCAGGAAAACACTCCCTCCCAGCCCACTGGCTATTGTGTGTGATGGTTTCCCATCTATTGAATCAAAGCTATTTCTGAAAGTCAAGTACCTTGTGCATCAGTCTGGCTCTGCCCCCTCCCCGCCCTTCCCCAACCCCCTGCATGACTCACTCCTAATCATAGTAGTTTACTTTTGAAATACTGTCTGCTTTCTGGAGTTTGCTGTGTTGGCCTGCTCCTAACATCAGAACTGCTGGTTAACTGCACTTGCTGTGGGTGGGGGCCGTCTCCCCCTGAGCAACGACATGGAGCTGTAGCTAGAGTTACAGCAGCTGGTTACAAGGCCACCCATGCACTAGATGGAAGATCTGGAGGACTGGTTCTTATTTTTATCATGAAAGGAGCAATGGGTAGCTGCAGTGCTTGATATGGGTATAAGATTGGCAGAAAGGAGAATATGAAAACAGAAAAGCCGATAACGGAGACCTCTTTTGGAATTTAAACCATTTTTTGTGAATGTATATAGGCCCTCATCCTTTTATAAACCCCGTTTTCTTTCTAACTTTGTAATTAAGTCGTGAGATAAAGGAGGGTTGATGGCATCACATTTTGCATATCTGGAATTTGACAGTGAGAGTGGGGCGTTAATTGAATGCAAAATAGCTTTAAGCTGTTGCATTTCACTTAAATTGATGTGAAAACATGACTGGAAAGGGTTTACTTTTATTTGCTTTCTCAATTTATAGTCGAGGGAAAGTACCTTACAGAAAAAGATGTGGTGCATATACTTTTGATACTATAGTTCAGTATTGGTTGAATTTTTGAAACATTGTTAAACTCTCCCTCCTGGTTATTTCCTCTTCCAATTTTCTACCTACACCATCTCTAACGGAAGGGGCAAGACCACCAGAGAGCCAGCCTTTAAATCTGGCCACCCTTCAAAATAAACAGAGACTAAACCAAACATAGCGGCAGCATGTTTTGGTGGTGGTAAAACAGTTTCCAAAATTGTCTCACACTTCTCGCACCCAGTTTTTTCCTTCTGATTATAAGATTTTACTTTGTAAAGAGGAAATTCACATCTATTACATGATACGGAGGTTTGGTTGGTGGGTCCTTGATTTTCTCACTGGAAATTGAGAGGTAAGTGAAGAGAAAAAAGCCCAGACGCCATTATTGGAGCGACACCTGGGTTCCCACCTGACTTTGGAGTTAACTATTTAGTAACAGTAATAGCCATTCTGAATCTGCTTGTCTCATTCTAAATTGGACCCTTGTGGGCTAGACGAGCCAGGTGAAAGCACGGAGGCATTAGCTAAAGAAACACGCAGAGCATAGCTTAGGAATGTAATTTTTTCGCTTGCAAAGGCCTCTCTGTGGGCCCCTCAGTCGCCCTTCCCTCAGTGGCTGTAAAGACACCCCCAAATTCCTCAAGTCTGCTGGACCTAAATTTAGCACAGATATCAGGTAGTGGGAGCAAGTGCACCAGAAACCCCGGGGTGAGCAGAGCCGCTCCCCGTTTCCCCTAGGTTTCCTTATTCCTTTTGCAGCGACCCCGGAATGGCTCCCAGCTTCCATGCCTCCAGAACAGAGCCCATGCCTGCCATGCGCTTGCTGGAGGTTTGAACCGCTTCACGGAGGGCTCACAATGCCACCCGGCTGCTTATGCCTGGCCTCTACGGAGGCCGCCCCTCGCCCCCTGAGTGCTCTGTCCTGGGCTCCCTGGGCGTGCCCGCGGGAGAGTGGGCTGGGCCTGGTCTGTCCTCCCCGGCCCCTGCTACCTGGGTGGCACTGACCCTGCAGGACCCGGAGCTGTTGCTACTGCTTTGTCTTGGCGTGTCACCCTCACTGTGTGGCTTGGGCAGCAGCTCAGAAATGCATGTCGGAACAGTTCCTTATTACATTTCACTTCTTGCCTAATTTTCTTTCCCTTCTGTCTATAGAAATATTATGGGCTGGATACAAAATGGGGTGACATCGAGCAGTGGATGGTAGGCGTTGAATATGATTTTAAGATACTTCCATGAGTTATAATTTGATTCTTACACAGTTTAATTACACAGATAGATTCCTGTTGCACCATAATTTCATCCCGAGAGGCTTCTTCCGGGACTTGTGCATCTGGCCTGGTTGGTTCCATCCCGTTTGAGGCCTGGTTGGACCGGCCCTGGCCAGGCATTTGGTCTGGTCTGTTCAGTAGCAGCTGACTCCTGGAGTGTCCAGGCGGGCGTTTGTGGAGGTCTCTGACCTCCGGGGCAGGGGACTGTCCGCTAGGGACATGTGACCCGGGCGTGTGTCCCCAGCATGAGAACTTCCGTTGCCAGCCCACCTCACCAGAATCTACTTGGAACTGAGAGGTCACATGCTCTGTTTCCATCATTCACGATTACAGCCACCTGCCTGTCACCCTCATTCCGACCTTTGTCCATCTTCACTGTCAGGTCCCCCTCCCCCCACCCACCCACTGTGCCCACAGAAACCACTCACTGTCTTTGGGTGAGAAAATGCCTTCTCACTATTTTCCCAGAGCAGCTTCTAGTTCACCCTACGTCAGTACACAGCTGGCTGACCCCTAATGACACCCCGTCCTGACGACCCTCCCGGGACGCGATGGTGCCCCACGCACGGCGTGAGGCCTCAGAAGAGGCAGCACTCTGCTTGCTTCACTCCCTCCCTCGTTAATTCACGCACCCGAGTGCACTCTGCCTCTTCCTGACCCTGTCACTGGCCTCCTGACCATCGTCACATACCTTTAGCATTTGAGAACCGTGTCCTCTTAAATGTCCCTTATACATAAAATAACCCAAGGAAATGTAAAATTACCTCCTCACAGCTTACTTACCTGTGTAAAATATCAAAGACAAGAGTTCTGAGAACAAAGAGCACACATTCCTCCCCTAAAACATGAGTCACCCCAACCTTCACTCCGTGTAAGCCGTCATTTTAGGCTTACACAGCACAGGCGAGTGTGTTTGGTATCACCTCTTAAGACGCAGTTAAAAGGTGCGTCGTTGTTTTCTGTACCACCAAGAAAGGGAAATGCTTCTAATTAGAACTGTGAGCCACTTTGGCATAAGGTGTACCCCAGCCTCAGCGATGCCCAAATGTGAAAAACTGGGGGCATCTCGGAACGCTCAGAATGCAGCGGGGAGCATGCCACCTGTTGGACCTCTGATTCCCGAGGGGAGGAGAATAGGGTTCTGAACGTGAGAGAGAAAAGGGTGGATGTAGATGGCCCAGACTACAGCACTTAGAAAAAAATTAAGACGCAGCTTCTCCTCCAACACACACTTGTTTTTAAAGGCGAAATGAAATATGCCAATTATTTGCATGCTTAAATAGAAGAAAACATTTCGTCCGTTAGAGGAAAACATTTCTCCCCAGTGATGTAAGTGAAGGCTTTACGCAAAGACAAAGAGAATGTTTGTTTGACATTTATACCAGAAATAACTGTGCCAGCGGGACACGGCGGGACCGCCCGAGGCTTGTCGGCTGTCTGTCTAACCTTGTGTCCTTTTTCTCTTCGGTAGGAAGACAGTGAGCGCTATTCACGTAGACCCAGGAGAAACACGTCGGTCAGTACGCGTTCATTCTGAGCGAAATCTAACCTGTATTTTTAGTGATGTGATATATACATGAATATCTTAGTGATGTTTATTAAAGAGATTCACTAAAACTGATGTTATTCCCTAAACAAAGACCATGAACTCAGCTCTTAGCATTTTGACCTAACTTGGGTGGGGAGACAGGGTTTGGGAGATGTCGGAGTATTAATATATTCCTGATGGTTTTGGTGCTGCTTTTGCAATCAAATACCCATGACTACTTCACAGAGTCATGCGTACCAGCGAAGTGAATGACAGCACTTGAATGAAATTAATTGAAAGCCGTTTTATCCAGAAACAGCCCTCCGTAAACAGAGGCGCACAAACACAGCCCATCGGCCGGGACCTCGGCTCAGGTCCACTGAGATTTTTCTGGGGCTCCTGAGGGGCCCCACTTGCTGTTGGTCTCTCTCTGTGTTACGTGGTCACTTCATGCTTGTCTCACCTTTTCTCTCACTAGGCTTCTGATGAAGATGAACGCATGTCAGTGGGTAGTCGCGGAAGCCTGAGGGTCAGTAACCTGCATGGTTCGGTTGATGGTCCAAGCGCTTTGCTTTGTCATCCCTGCATTCCTCCTTCTCATTCACTGCCCCTGGCGTCTTGGGGTCAATCTCCTACTGCCAGGATGCTTGTTTAAAATACAGTCAGTGGCAGGCTGTTTCCTTGTTGTTGTAGAGAGATTATTAATAAGCATAAGTATTAATAAGGCACTTCTGTTGTGTCTTTCTCCCAAGAGTGGAAGTCGTAATTTTTTTTTTAATGTATTTGTCCACATCACAAAATGGCCACGCCTGGTTTGAGTTGTGAGAAAGGAGCATGTGAAGGCACAGCTGTTAGTCATGTCCTATTTCACATACTCCTCAATCGAATTTGAATCTCAGGGAAAATAACCGTAAGTTAAAACAACTCCTATGCAGCGGTGTTGTGCGTGGCTTCTTGAAAGCTGCGGTGGGCTGCCTGGTGGAAAGCGGAGCAGATTGGATCCGCAAGGCCTGTGTCTGCCCACCCTCAGGAAACCTTTCTTCCCCTTGATGAAATCTCTTCATCTCCTCAGCTTCATGCTTTATAAACCCAAATATGTGTTTTTCCATAAACGTTCCCATAATATCAGTAATTATCTTTGAAAACATCGTGTGCTTTGAGCAGTGAGATAGAGAAGCTGTGTGTTTGTCAGTAAATTAATCTTGGCATGCCAGTTTCGTTTACGATGCAGTTACAAGTCCATGTCCCTGCTGATAATAATTAGGTCTCAAGGCAGCCACCGCATTTTACCTACTGACCCCACAGAGCAGGAGGCTCGTTTTCATCACCATGACAATAAAATCATAATACCACTCGACAATAAAATCATAATACCACTCCTAGACTTCTTGTAGAGGCGCTCAGTGTGCCTTTAATTTGGCTGTTTGTAACAGTAAACCCTGATGGTGATACATTGTTGTTTGTTGTGCTGTTGGGCAATTGTTGTCAGGGTCCTTGCACAGCCAAAGGCAGATCCACAGTGAATTTGCTAGAAAGTTCCAGTTCAGATGTGAAGTCAGCAAAAGAGGCTCTTAGCCCTATGTCACAGTTCCACGCCAGAGGAAGTAAGATTTATGTAACCAAAAACATTATAAATGCCACACTCACTTTGCAGAATCTGTGGATAACACCCAGAAGCTGAGCTGTCGCGTATAGGCTCAGGAGAAGGTTTAATATTTTGTAGAGAAGGAAATAAAATTGCTTAGCCTGCTTCAGATCTTAGGAATTACAGCAGCATTTGCCTTGGAGGTTTTATTGAATGTATTGGATTTTATGCTGGCAGTCATTCTAATGTAGTTCCTTTTGCAGATACACATGAGATTTTGTTAAGATTTTAAATATTGCCTATTTTGTTTTTGCTGCGATTTACTTAGATTTTTTTAACTGATTTTGGCAACTCTGTTTTCTGTTTTTCTCTTCTATCCTTACTTTGACAGTTGCAGCCCGACTTGGAGTCTGGGGGTCCCTACACCTGGGTGAGATGGTTGGATAGACTTGCCATGTGATCGATCCTAACAGTGTTGTGTGACAGATAATAACCAGCCGTGTTTCAATTAATCCTATGGGTGTTTGTCTAAAAATCTAACACCATGTTTGTCCAAAAGACACTTGCCATACACCAGTCTTCACCTGGGGACGGAGGGCCAGAGGGAGGCGCACCCACCAGAGTGAGTTGCTCGCCTCCCAGAGCCTCCTGGGTGCAGCTCTGAGCCGCCTGGTCGGGCTCCAGAGCCCAGGCATGCGTGATGCCCTCACCCACGAGGAGGTCTTTGAATACCAGTTGTTTGCCCACCCTGAGCCAGTAGCATGCCGCCCAAGGAGGGAAAAAGTGTTGTCTTACTTTCAAGGTGCTCAAAACAGATCCAGAATTCCCTAGTTCTCCATTTCCTTTAAGACATTAAAGTCATTTTCTCATATGGAAAACCCATTATTTTCTAATCCGTATCCATTCCACTTAAATGTACGGCCTGGTTCTTTTGCCAGAAAATGCCCTTTGAAAGAGACCCCAGTTCCAGCAACAAGACAAAGGTTTTAGATTTACATTTGAAATTTCCCATCTTCCATGTGCCAGGAGAATTTCTGCCCCTTGTGCTGTGGAAAGACCTGTAAATGTACATGACACTGAAAAGACGAACAATTTCGCCTCAGCATAAAGGACGCTCGGCTCAGAGTGTCCGGCACCGAAGCTATGGCAGCACACACCCTCACTTTAAGAACTTTTCTAAATGTGTTTTGTGCTTCATTCATTCCATTGCTTTTCAAAATTATTTAGAATTTCCAGTTTTTAAACTGTATTTTTACCTTTAAGGGGACAGTTGTTAGCGCCATACATCTGCATGGCTCCCTTGACCCCCGAGCGTCCTGTTGGGCCGCTGTTCCCCACGTCAGGGGCAGGAGATGGCGGTTAGAGCGAATTGCGGAGGACAGGGCATCTCAGCTCCGCGTGGGCTAAGCCACCAGGAGGGGGACCTGGTGTGGACAGGTCATCACACGCAGCAAGTGCTCCTCACAGGCTCTCCCAGGCACGTCCACATCCACGGTGGCCCTGCCCGTTGGAGCATTTATGCAACATTGTAGCAACTCTTCCATCCTTAAGTAATTAAATGCATTAGCAACATGTCTCTAGATCGTCAGCCTTATTTTAAACTCAAAGTGAATTGTATTTAAGGGCCAGTCCCTGGTGGAATGAAAGAATGTATATGTGAGCAACAGTAGGGACCCTTTTTGCATTTCATTTTGATTTTCAGTTTTCATTCTGTTTTAAAACTAAATGGAGGGCATCAAGTATTGTATGTACGGGTTTTGACTTTGCCGTTCTTGTTTTGCCTCCCAGCTCTGATGCCCTTGCACCTGAGCTGTCTTTTGACTCATTAGAAAACTAATCTCACTATTAATTCAAAACATTAACAGTTGACTTGTGCATGGTCACGTGTGACGCTCATTGGTGCTCTGCTGGCACCACATGGTGACGGTTCACATTCGGACCAGTCCTAGGTCACCACTGGAATCACTGGTTTCGACAGGATGTTTATTCTTGTATCTTATTTATCCTGTTTTAGAAAATGCTGATTTGTGAATGTCCTTTATATTTTGTTTGCTCTGGTCACAGTGCTTCTCGATGTCCCTATGTGTAAGATTCACTTGGGGAACTCATTAAAATGCCCATTTCTTGGCCCTTAGGGAGCTTGTTAAAATGCATGTTCCCGGGCCTCCAGTGTTCTGGTTGCCTAGGCCAGGTGACCATGACGCAGGTGGTCAGCCCAGTAAGGAGTGTTGAAACCAAATTCTGCAGAGCAGAGCGGGTTAAATGTCAGAGACCTGACTTAAGATAAAGCTGCTATGCGGTCATGAACTTTTTATTCTAATGTTACAGTTAATTTTCAACTCTCCTGACTCTATCGTGCCACATAAAAGAGCTCCACCCATCTAAATGCAATGCATAAAAACCATCCAAGAGGAAAAAGTTGGTTATTTCTTTAAGAAGGTCAAAGTACTTCCCTCTGTAGAGATGTGACTGAGATCCTATAGATCTGGGAACACATCCTAAGTATATAGATTCCCTAGGACAGAATGTCATTCCAGCAGAAAAGGGTGGATGTTCCCCAAAGCCTTGGAAGTAAGAGTTTTTCCTGCATTTTCGTGGACGGCCAGAAGAGAAATGATCAGTGAGAGAGGGTATTCACTTCCTAGCCTTCACCCACGCTCTGCTCTGTGCCGCAGCCCGAATTAGCGACAAGGAGACCAGAGAAGAGTTCGTCTAACACAGTCTGTGCTTTATAAGCAACAGTGGAAATCCAGGGGGTTAATATGTGACACATTTTTATTCCTCATTTACTAGATGAGTGAAAGTCATCTCATCTTGATAGACATTAGCCTTCATTATTATTATTTTTCCAGAAACTAGTTCTTAAACAGGTATCAAGAGAATAAGACCGAGGTCTGAAATATACAAGTCCTTGACAGTTGTTTCCATATCAAATAATCTTGTCCGTCAGGAGAATTCCTGCCAATTCCCAAAGGGTTTTTTGCTATTAAATTTATTTCAGAAATGTTGTCATGTTTCCTCGTAGAGTTTTCAAGTTGAATGCGGAGGGGTTTCTACATACTCTTTTGTTTAATTTAGAAACTTCAAGTTAGTTTGTTTTTTGAGTTGCAGTAAATGCACGCTTTCATCATCAAGATTTTATGCCCCTGGCTTTATAATCTGCCTGGCGATTCATTTATTTATTCTGCATTGATGTCATGGCCACAAAATATGTTCTAAACAGCCTCCCCTCCTCGTTTTCATCAGATGTGGTCCTCACGGTGGCTTTCCAAAGTGTGTTATTTCCATGCATTTTCATGGCCGAGGAAGTGGAGGTTCCAGCGGATTAAATAACTTGCTGACGGTCACGTGACAGAGCTTGTGTTTGGACTTTGGGCTCATGTCCATGACGCCTGGCGTCTCCTTCCATTTTTACCAGTTGTGTGGACTGCCCCTCCTTTGTCTGCCCCAAGAGCTGGTTATGTCTTTGTGACTTGACAGCTCTTCTCTTAACCAGCAGAAATTTCCTTATGGATGAATGAGAGCAGTTTAGAAGCCACGCTTTGGGTCAGGGGATCTTGGGCTGGGAGTAGAGAAAAGAAGGGAGTCCGGCATACACTGAACTTAATCTTCTTTCTGGAGGACGAAGTGTGAAATCATGAAATATGTCCTCAGAGTTCATTTTGAAAACTAAAGTAGGACGACCGGATGAACGAAAAACTAACCATGAAAATATATCCCACTATTTTTCCAAGATGAACTTTTACATTTCATTATAGACTGAACAGAAGCCGTTTCTGAATCTTCTGAATACAGCTTCATCATGGTCCCTAATTGTCAAGGTCTTACCCTCCGCCAAGAGCTGAAAACTGACTGACTCAGGCTGAACCGTTACCCCCAGCCTGCCGTTCAGGCTGCTAAGAGCAAGCTGGGGTTTCCACAGCACTCCCTGCCATAAAACCGGAAACTGGGACACTGCCCAGGAAAACAGCTGCTCCCGGGTCCACGTGCTTTGTCCCCATGAGGGACTTTGGCCTAAGTCCTGGAGTGCCTGCAGTTACAGGTAACGCTGAGTGGGCTCACTCCGTTCGCCTACCTGTGCTGTTTCGCCCGGGTTGTAGTGGAGAAGGGAAGCATTGCGGGACATGCAGGATCTGTGCTGTCCTGGGCTCCCTAATTCAGCTGCTCCCCCAGGAAAACACGATTGGTGCCTGGCTAATTCTTCCGTGCTGGTCTCTGCCTCTGTCTTCGTTTGTACACTGATGTCAGTTTTTCTTCTTTTCTTCCTTGAAACAGACAAATGGTTATGATGCAGAGTTTTATGGACCACAGTCCCTGAATAGAAGATCGGGCAGGGTCAGTACAGTAAACTTGCATGCCACCAAATTCACTCAGATTGCTGAAAAGCTTCTTTTAAAATATTGCTCAATTTTGCTTCTTTGCATTTTTTCTGCATTATAAGGGGGGGGAGTCTCTCTTTTTTTTTTTCCTTAGTGCATGATAGGATGAAAGCTCGAATGTTAGCATAATAACATGCTGAGTATTAGTGTAAGAGATTCATATTGATAAGAATATCTAAGTTTAAAAAGATCTACAATTAAAGATTAGCTCTTTCATTATTTTATTGCCATAGGTGTATGTGCATAATGTATATATTAAGTATGTTCAGCTGCCACATATACTTAAATTCAACATTTTCAGTTTTTCTACATCTCTCACTTGTAATTTTAAAGACACATATGAGAGCCTGTCTCTTTCTTTTCTTTTTTTTTTTTAAAGACTTTATTGAGGAATTGGGGAGGGGGACCAGCCAAGTTGTTGTTCTTCAATCTTAGTTGTGGAGGGCGCCAGTCACCATCTGGCTGCCCATCAGCAGCTCGTGACCTCTAAGCTCAAGGTGCTGAGTTCAGTCTTAGTTGAGGATGGGCGTAGCCACCATCCCATGCGGGAGTCGAACCAGCAGCCTTGTTGTTAAGAGCACACGTTCTATCCACTAAGCCACCCAGGTGGCAGCTCAGCTCAGGGTGCCAGGTTCAGTCTTAGTTGTGTGTAGGCGTAGCCCACCATCGAACAGGCAGTCTTGTTGTTAGGAGCACGTGCTCTCACCAGCTGAGCCATCCTGCCACCTGTTGGCAGCTCAGCAATAGCTCAACTCAGGGCGCAGCATCACTGGCCCATGTGGGAATCGAACCGGCAGCCCTGTTGCTCAGAGCTCACGCTCTTAAGCCAACTCTTAACCAACCGAGCCACTTGGCCAGCCAAGCCTGTGTCTTTCTAAATGTTAGTGTTGGAATGCGCAGGCTCAGGAGTGGGAAGCAGAGAGGAGCAGGGTCACCCTCTATAGTGGGAGAGACAGGAAGAAAGGGACCCACAGCAGGAGCGTTGCAGAGAAGTGGGGGAAGGAAGGCCTTTGGGTTTCTCAAGGAGCCTTGGGGGGACTTCAAAAGGTTAAACTGGATACACTGAATTTAATTTTCATGACCTGCTGCAAATCTGTCACACATTAGATTATCGAAAATCTTTCTGTACTTACATTTGCTTCATTTTTTGTTATAGTGACAAATTTTACTAGTTGTGCAAAATAGTATTTCTTTGAATTTATCTTTTATTAATACACACACACACACACACACACACACTTAAATTATTATTTTCAGGTTTCAAAGGAGAAACCCAATCCCACCTTAGCTTTCTGAAACTGGCTGATCAGGTTTTTCCCCTGGTCCCCTTTAGGGATTGCATACACTCCGTTTCATGTTAGCTTTCCTCATTCCGGGCTAAGAATATCCTCCCCATTGAAAGGCTCTGTCTTCCTATTTATGTCGCTTTTTGCATTGACGCCCCTTGGACTTTCTCCAGTTGTGTTCTGTATTTCTGTAAGTTTCTGTCCACTCCAGGGACAGCAGCAAACAGCACACCGTTCCATCCTGCAGGCTGTGTCATGCTGGCTTTATGGGACCACAGCCACAATGCTCCCTGACGGCACCAGACTGCTTGTCAGGGTTATACTGACAAGGTTGCACATTTACACCCAAATGCGTTACTGTACTATACTTGATCACAAAGTATGTTAAAGTTGGAAGTTACTGTAGTTGTCTAGTCCATCTTCTATCCAGAATTACATTCTCCCCTAGAATATCCCAAATATGTAGTTGCCAACATTTCGTTACAGTACAGCGTGACACCAGCCTCTGTATCCTACATATAACCATCTATTTTAATCTCTGATGTTCACGTTAGTACAAGTGTGGTTTGTGTTTTAGTTAAAATGTAAGTAACGCCTCTAGAAATCAGATACAAAAGAACTTGATTATAAAACGGTTCACCACAGAGTGAAATTGGGTATAAAATTGTTTTAATAAATAATCAGACACATAATGATCAAAAAGCCAAATAACCTACATCCAAGGCAGCAGCAGAGATAGGACGGTCCTGGAGCAGAAAACCCCAGGCACGGTGTGCAGATGCGCTTAGAGAAAAGGGAGGGGGGGAGGGGAGGCTGTCTAGATGTCAGGGACACCAGTCATGGGAAGGGGAGTTGGCAGGCCCACGATGAGAGAGTGGAAATGCCTGTTTCTCCGACAAGGGAACTTGGTCTCTGTAGGAAGATTTGAGCGGTCACCATGTCATGCCTTCATCTGTAATGTTCACAGCCACCTCCCCATCCAGTTCTGGGTTGGATCTGATCTTTTTAGGATATATATCCACGAAACCAGAAAGACCATAAAGACGGCTGTAGGACATGTGTGTCCTGCCAACAATGGTTCTCAGCTGGAAGCGGGGGACTCTCTTGGGCTCCCCTCACCTGCCCGGACCGTCCGGGCTGAGGCTTAGCCCTCAGGTGTGCCCTGGCCTGAAGGAGGACTGGAAATTTTGCCATACATGGAATTTTAGTTAGTTAAGAAGGGAGGTAATAATGAAAGTCCAGACTAGGAGGTTCTAGACGGTCCATCATGAGATGTAGTAATTACCAATAATACTAGAGATGGGACGTTGTGAAAAACAGTTAAGAGTTCAACATTAAGCCGCACGCCATTGCGGAGACCTACACACTGAGATATGGAATGCACTTAGAGCCGTGAGTAGGTAAGTCTGTGCTGTAGCAAAGGGTCTGGATTCTCGGGCATTCCTGGAGGAGTACTGGTTCGGTTGTGTAACTTTATGTTTGCCTTTGAACTGGACAGGTGGTGTTTTGGGGACAGTGGGGACGTGCGTGTCACTTAACAGTGTCTTCTTTGGTGCCCAGAATTCCAGCTACAGCGGTGACAGCAGATCCTGTACTTTGTCTTCATCCAGAGAGGAGAAGTTGGTTGGTTCCCATTTAAATCTTTCACACCCTCTCTTCAGAAACGACAGGTTCTGTAGCATGCAACCCTGTGTGTGTGAATTCTGCTCTCTTTTCTCTTTTAATGTCCATTTTATGAATTTTCATTTGCATAGATGTGAGAGTCAGGTTTTGAGCAGTAATCAGCTGCGATATATTTAATGCAGACTCTTACCCCCCCTACCTTCCATTGGAATTCATATTCAGATGTTTGACGATGAATTGTAGTATTCAGCTGGGTACAATGGAAGAAAGTATTTATGTGGATATTGTGTAGTTAGAATTAATCAAAAGGGGGAGGGAAGCCTTGAGTGTTTTTCCTTGAGGGCCCCTAAGAACAGAATTGCTTTGTAGGGTGCATGCGACTTGGTGGCAATTCCTCAGGGAGGGGCTAGACTTGGAATGCAAATCAAATCAAGTCCCCAAGCCTCCACAGTAGTGCTCCTTCAGGTACTTCAAGGACAGGCATCAATTTTGAGAGGCAAATATTTCTAAATTATTTAAGCGTCCTAATAGGGAGGGCTTGTTTGTCCTACGTGAGGTTCGTGTTCGCTCAGCAAACATAGGCAGCTTGTTTGGCAAGGAAGATCACAGAAGTATGACAGGCGCTCAGAAGCCTTCACTTCCAAAACAGAAGACAGACCCGCCTGCCGGATACACTAGTGCAGCGGTACATAGGGTGACAGGGAGAAACTCATTTTGCCAGAAAGTGTCATAACTCGGGCTGTGAACTCAATCCTAGGGTATAAATGTGGGGAGAGGAATAAATAGAAACTTGCCAGGTAGAGCCACAGGACTCTGTTCTCCTGGCCCCTGTCATGCCGTGTCCCGGGCCCCCTACTCCCTGCTCCTGCCTCTGCAGGGGTTAGGGGTGTCCAGACATTGCTGGCAGCTCCATCACCATATTCATGATGCTTGCCCACTTTCCAAACGCCCCCCGCTGCCTCCCAGCCCTCCGCCCTATAATGCACACTCCACCTCTCACTAGGCTTATTGCTTTCTTCCCCCCAATAGGTGATTTTTGACTAAATATAAGATCAGCTATAAGCACCAAAGCATTGGTGGGGTTTGAATTGGGGGGGGGTTACTGTGTGTAGTTTCTTAATTCAAGGGAGGTTTTGCTGTTGCAAAGAACACTTTGCATTCAGAAAACTACTTTCTCCTCCTCTTACCAGAGGAGAGGCTCGCTCTCGAATGGAAGCGGGTGATAGAGACCTAATAGTGGATTATTCACCAAAGTCCAGCGTGTATCTGACTCCTTTAAATTCACTGAAGAGAAATAACCCACATCCAAGGTGTTAAAGTCAAAATTAGCGCCGACGCGTTCGAAACTTAGAACACTTTCCAGAGGCCTCCTGTCCCCACCACCAAGTGTGCCTGATGCCTTATTTTACTCGCCCGCCCTCAGAACCTTCCTGGTAGCTCTGTGCTCTGAGATTCCATATCTATTCCTGCACGGCGCCCCAGCCTGTGTGATTTCATTTAAGTCTAGAAAGGAATCGACGTAGTATGGAGCTCTGAAGGCTCGTCTGATAACTGCTCCAGTCTCTCAGATCCGTCAGAAACTGACCCTGGACTTGACCCCGCAGTGTCGGGCGGTGGCTGTGGGCGCTTTCTCCCACATAGCGACGTGGGCCTCTGTGCTTTCTGTGTCCCAAAATGGGGCTGTTCGCCCCACCCCTGGAACAAGTTTCCATATTTGTGTTAAGTATTAGCAAGTTTCTCCCTGTCCACCCCAGAGCTCCGCGTGCCTGCCCCTCAGGTCGCTTTGGTGTAGCTTATTCAAGGCACAGGAATGACAGGCTCAGGTTATGGGACCTTGAAGGGGTGAGGGAACACCGTAGGTGGTGTCAGGTTATTGAATGGAGCAACTTCACCCTCAGGGACTGTCCCGTTCTCATGTGGTCAGTAGGACACTGCTGACATAGAGTCTGAAGTGACTAGCAAGGCTCCTTTAATTTGGGTAAAACATATTATTTGGGGAAACGATGAGTTTATAGAGTCGTATTCCCCAGTACATTGTACTATTGGTCTCAGAATCATAGCATTGGATTTCTCGTGTCTGCTGTGAGTCCTGGACACGTGCTTGAAGCCAATACCGCCCCAAGGAGGCCCAGCCGGAGACCAGCTCCTATGGAATGCTCTGCTACCTAAAATAGAGGTTGAGGCCTCTGCAAATTCTTGGTTTTGAGCTTTTCCCACCAAGCTTTAAAAATTAGAACTCGAATTACAATGACCTTCAAAACCCCTTGTGGTCTTGCCACCGGTTAAAATTAATGAAATCTATTTTTGCCTGCGTGTAGACTCCAAAGTCCTAACTTGGTCCCACATGATGGGTTTGTCAACTAACAGCACCATGTTTATCTCCTTCTGGTCATGCTGCCTCCCCTGTAAGTGCATGCCCGTGGCCGGTTCTGTTGTAAAAGGGGGTTTTGTGTGGACTTACAATACGATGTACCTTGGAGATGAAATGAACTGGGAGCCGGCCCCCTCCCGCCCACATCCTCTGATTCCAGGGGCTCTCCTGCTTGGACCTCGGCCTTCCCAGCGGCGGTCTTGCTCACACAGTCCTGTCTGCCCAGAGTGGAAACCGGGTCGGTCCCCCTTTGCACGTCCCGTCTCCCTCCTCCTCATCCTCCTCCTTCCCTCTGTGTGTCACTTTCTTTGCTGAGTCAATGTGTGTGGACACTTCAGCCTCTTCTATTGGAAGTCCAAAATGCAAAACCCAGCAAGGCATGTTAGGTGGCTTGACTAACTTGCTTAAGACTTTTCTCAACTTTTTGAAACAGTATCCAAAATAATTTAAGACCTTATATAGCAAAAAGGAATTTAGGAAAAAGGAGGCGCGAGTGGATGGATATTTTCAAAAGCTCACATCCAAGAAAATGGGCCTCTCGGGTCTCGCCTCCTTTTCCAGCAATTGTTCCCCATTTGGGGTTTTGTTTGTTTTCTAAAAAATATTTTTCTCTAGCAAATGTGTCCAGGAAGCAATCTGGAAGGCTGTTATGCATAATCGGACTCCTCCATCTTTGAGAAAGGGGGGGAGAGCAGTGTTAATTCTTTGGCTCGCTCTCCCCTCCGCTTCCTGTTTTTACGAGGCCTGCGTGCAGGTCGGGCCCTGGGGTGCTGGGCCTTTTCAGCTGTCAGGATGCACGCCCGGCTCTCCTGTAAGGAAATAGGTGCTGAGTTCCAAATACGGATCATACCGTGGAGGTTGAACTGTCATCTCCGTGCATTGTCCTCTGCCTCCCGTTGCTGAGTGGTCCATCTTTGGTCATGCACATTCCAGGGCTGGCAGGGGAGGCCCTGCGCTGTGGGCTTTCCATGGCCTCTGCCTGTGAGTCATGATGCTATTCTGGGGCTGGGGCTGTGACCACACCAGCCTTTATGCTCCAGCATGTCCCCCACGGGCACTGTCCCAGCCTGATCGAGTTCTGGATGTGGATTGCACTTACGGGGCAGCGCCAGCCCTGGCCGGCTGGCACAGGCCAACCACTCCTTGTGTGACTTGAAGGCTGATACTGGACTCCTTCTGCTCACTCTCCCCGTGTGGAAATTATGGATGAACACCCCTCTCTGCGCTAGTAATTTGGGGTTTCGAGTTGCGGGGTTGGTTGCTCATGTGGGTGTTATTTATCTTGTCAGCATTCTGTCTTGTTCCCTTACCCTTCCTTCCAGGAATGCCTGAAAAGAAATGACTAGAAAATAGTTGTGTTTCAAAGATGCTGGGGAAGTTTACTGATTTAAAGTTAACAATCATCTCATGTTTACCTTCCTTGTAAATTTGGGTTTGCATCTATCAGATTTACGGAGAACATGGTGCCTACATCAACTTTTTTGTTTTGTCTTCTAACCGTTGTACGATGCTTTGGCTGCCACACTCACTGAAAGCAGCGTGATTGCCTTTTTTCGAGGCTTTTAAAACCTGCCGTTTGCTTTCGTCCTCCAGCCCTACCTGTGCAGCTCTGCCAGGCCAGCGGGGAGTTACTGGGTGCGTGTGCTCCCGTGTCCCCCACCCATGTACCCCCACCGCGCATGCACACCCCTCCCCGTGCACCTGCCCTGGGAGCAGACGCGCCTGTTTGTGTGATTTACCCCTTTACACGCGTGGTGGTGGCTGTCAGTCTCCTTCGGCCAGGCCTGGGTTTTCTTTCTCCCGAGAGCTGACAATAGCTCTCATGCCACTTCTGTCTCCAGGAACACGGCGTTTGTACAGGCTTGTTGGGCTGGAACAAATGAAACAAGCACATCATTGACTTAACCGTTGGCAGGAAGGAAGGTGTTTTTGTTTGTTTGTTTGTTTTTTATTGCTTTGGTAACCTTAACAGGTATTGATCCATTGTACTATATTACTTTGGAAATTTTCAGTTTTAAATACAAGGCCCTTATGCCGTGCAGGAAACTTAAATATTCACAGTAGCTATACTGTTTTGTTAGTACCTCTGAATCTCCACCAAATTGCACCCTTGTAAATTAGATCTATAACTGGCCGAGCAAACCAGCTGTGTCCTCAAGGGGAAAGGCCCTCTCAGCTGGGCAATGTCTGACGTGGCCGTTCCCGGTATTGTAAACTGTTTACCCTTAGTGACCAATTACAAAGGCCTTTCAAGTTAACCAAATATTTTGTTTTCTATTTAGCCGTTTTTAAGGAATTATAAAAATCAAACTATAATTACCATCCCGTTGTATTCCAAAATATCAGGTGTTTGGAGGCCATGACAAAAGGCAGGATATTTGAATGATCTGCTCGTTTTAAATCTAGACGAACAAGTTTTTACTTAGCAGGCACCTTTCTCAGCCTGATAGATGTGGAGGATGTATTGGAGGTGACACCACATGCAGTGACAGCAGCTAACGCACCTCCCTCAGATGTTTGCACGCCCCTGTCCGCCCACAGCCTTTGGCCTGTTGGGAGGGGGTGGGGGGCGTCCAGCCCTGCCTGCATGTCTCCCTTCCCAGCGTTTTTCAGGACTTGTTCCTGCCACGTGTCAGTCTTTTCCTTACAATTCCGTGTTCCCTGGGTGCTGGGACCGAGGAAGGGCGCCCTGTCCTGACAGTCTGTTTTTGTCGCAGGCATCTGGGTTCGATGACAGCAGTCTCGGTGGGGCCCGGCGGGGCAGCGCCTGCGGTTCCCAGGTTGTGAGGCAGTTTCTGTGTTTCGCAAGCTTGCTCCCGCCTGCTGCATGACCTGGGTGGCTCGCATGGCAGAGTCCCAGCCCCGGGAGAGAGCTGACACTGGCTCGTCTCACTGATCCATTGTAACAAGGGTCACGGATGATGTAGCTCACGAAGCCTGTGGTCGTTAGTTTTATGTCCTCACTCATCGATTGCTGTTGTGCTGCAGGGAAGGAGGCTAACCTTGACTGAGCTGCTGCGGCTCTTGGCCAGCAACACACTGACGATCCTAACAGGCAGCGAAGGGGTTGGTCTTAAAGTGATAGGAGGCGGAAAGACAACAGGACAGGCCACAGGCTGTTTTCACCTCTGGATAACTGAGGAAGAGGAACACATTTAAAGACTCAGGATATTACCTGTACATCACTTCCTTTTTCAATTTTTGTTGTCTTCCTGCCTCTTCAGGGGACTTGAAATGGTATCGCAATCAAGGGTTGGCAGTTGTACGAGAAAGACTTGTTGAATGAAAAACTGAGCGAGTGAATGAATGAGTGGCAAAGGTAGACAAATGGAAAAGGAATCAGTCTTTGAAGCGAGGAAGCTGATGGGCCCGTCCTGAGGACCAGGGGACACTGCGTCAGCCCTAAGCAGCACAGTCCTGTGGCAGAAGTGTCCCCAAATCCTATAAAAATGCACCAAGCCCCACGTGAAACAGAATGGTTTACTATGAAATACTTGAAAGTGCTTTTATAACTTTGCTTTAGAAAATAATTGGCTACTTCATAAACCAGCTAAATAATCCAATGTTATGATTTTTTTATATTTCTCCAATCATGAATACTGAAGGATCCTTACAAAGTAACCAGCCTCACCTACCATTTCCCCTAGGTTATTTTTATGAATATTATTTCAAATAATTGACATAGCGTTAGTTTTGTTGACATCTCATGCAACAGTTACTAATTTTGTATTGTATAATGTTTTTCATGCAGTGGAGCCCGCTGTAGTAAATCTTTTCCCCAATTCTTACACATTTTTGTAGGCCATTAAAAAGTTTCTAAACTATGCCTAATGGATGAAATAGCTCTGTCCTGTATGTGATGGATAAAATGCAACTAAAAAGCTTTCTTTTGTCAGAAAAGAGACAGCATGCTAAATTCTGTAGGAGAATGAAACTTCCCCAAGTGTTAATAGTTTTCTGATGACCCAAGTAGAACTCTGGATGTCTGGCAGGATGCTCAGATTCTCTCTAAGTGTCGCCTCTGTCGATGGACTTTTCTGGAGTGACTGATGGTTGGCCTTCAGAACGTAGCGACTGGCATTGCTGGTTGGTCTCCGCGTAGCTGTCGTTGTGTTTGCAGCCTCCCGTAGCAGTCGCCTGGGAGGAATGGCTGTAGCCCGGTTAAGGGAATGAGGGGTCCTGTCCTGGCAGCACAAAGGCCTGAACTAGGGCCGCCTGTTTCTGGTATCGAGCTGTACAGGCGAAATAAAAGAGAATGAAAGGAATTGCTTTTTTCTGTACCTAACAGTGTATCCCCATGCAGGAGTTCAGCCGCATTTGTTGACTTACATTGGACACGTCGAACCCCAAGGTTAACGCCCTCCGAAGAGACCTTGGGGCGTCAGCTCTGTTCTCAGCAGCAGAGCAGCAGGCTGAGTGGGAGGAAGGCTCCCTGCCAGTGTCCCCACCCCCAGCTCACCCCAGTCCTGTAATTGCCCAAGTGGATGGTGAGAGCCCTGAGTTCAGGGAGGGGCTTGGGGACAGTGCTTCCCAGGCTCTCCGCCCAGCTGGTGGTGGTGGCAACTGATAAACCCACACACCCGCTGTGAGGAGGCTGCAGCTTGAGGGCCCTTCCTGTCCTGAGTCCGGAGAGCTGGGACCTCAGAGTCCCGGCTGACCCCATGGGGTGGTCTTGATCTAGGAGGTCGTTTCTTGATCTCCATTCTCCTGAGAAGTTAGTCTCAACCACAGTGTGTGTTTCCAGTTAAATAATTATGATTGAATGGTTAAATGAGATTAAATGATGAGGCTTTTTTTTTTTTAAGTATAACTGTTTTGCTTGAAAAACCTTTGTGTTTATACCTTCCTTACCATTATTAGGCCTTGTGTGTTGTAGGAAGGTCTCACGGCTGTGGGCGAAGTAACCCTCTTAGTTGTTCTGACATGCCGGAAGCGGTCATCGCCACCCCACCACCTGCTCAGGAGCCACCACAGTCGTTTCTAGCAGAAAGTGAAAGTGGGGGAAGCCACCATGCATCCCTCGTGTGGTCCTCAGCACCTCTGTGTGTGTGGTCAGTGTCCTCACTTCCATGTCACAGACGACAGGCGACGTCACTTTCCCAGGGTCTCGTGGCCCATAACAGAAGGAGCCTGGGCTGCATCTTTGTAACTGAACGCTGGCCTCGCGTTAGCCCCACTCCACTGGCTCCCAAACCTAAGCAGCTCCAAAGGCGGCACGTGCCCACGGTGAGACCGCCCTTAAACATGTCCTGCAGGATCGGGTCGGGGGAGTTTCTGACTAAGTAGGTGGGGACGCTTGGATCGGCCATACACTCTGGCCAGTCCGTCAGATCTCTGCACCCGAAACCAGGATGTGGGGGACAAGAACACAGCAGAGTCTGTGGATAGGAGGTTCCTTCACTTGTGTCAATGAACCCCAAGGTGAAATTCTGCCGTACGGTGCCGATCTTACGCGGTTTCCTTTCTTTTGAACGATAAAGCTACAGGGCGAGTCTCACGATACCTGTAAATTTTTCGTATATCCTTCATGGGGCAATAGTTGTTACACATGGTGTTATCTGTGCACCTGAAACGCCTCGCACGTACGTGTGAGTACACAGATATTTCCCAGGTAAAGGAACAGGTGTCGGTAGGATGGGTCTGGGGAACCCGCCCATCTTGACCAAGGCTATTTATAGTCTAAAGTTGAAATTGCTCTTTCAGCAAGTATTTCTCAAGCGCACAGTGTGTGCCAGGCCTTATCGGATCCCTGGGGACTCAGCACGGAACAAAATAGATGCAGACCTTATCCTCAGGGGAATTACTTTCTGGTGGAAGAAACAGGATTTAAGATGAGATGGAGAGCACCCTGACGGTCTGTCGCTCCTATAATTTGTAGTAAGATAATGCCTGTGAGTGTCCCAGTGGGGCCGTGATGACAGCAGAGAGACCTGTCAGCGCCTGGCCTGGTTCCGGTGTCAGGAGGGGCTGTGTGGGCCTCTCCACGACACTCCTTGGGCCATGCCATGGCCTGTCAAACTAAATTGTGTTGGAATCCTGCCTCCCCTCCACCCCTCCCCAATCTGCCTCACTCAAGAGGAAAGTAAGAATTTAAAACAAAACAAAAACATGAAAATGTATCTAGGACTAGAACAAAGGTGAATGCACATCCCAGTCAAGAGGGCGTGGCTTCCAGATACGTAAGTTGCTGGTGTTTTTCTTTAGCAGGAGAGCGACAGCTTAGGTAGGTAGGCAGACAGACAGGAGGTGATATGGCCAGCCTTGCCCGATTTTGTCTTAACCCTAAATCTTATTCTGCTTTCACTTGGAAAGGTAGTTGGGAAGCAAGCATGTGTTTTGCCCAAAAGCCCAGCCCCTGTCCCGCTCTGCTCTCTCTCTCTGCTGGGTTGGGAGGTGTCTCACAGCCTTAAAAACGGTCACTTCCACAGCGCTGAAGTGGTTCTGTGCACCCACGAGGCATGTGACTCCACCCCCATGTCCAGTGGGTCCTGTATGTCTCTTTCTTCTTACTAACCAACCAAGTCTGTGTTCTTTTGATGTTGTGATTAAGTCTTTTTCTTCTTAGCGGGCTGTGGCGAGACGCAGCCCCCTTCCCCAGGGGAGCCTGTGCCCCATGCCACCCTCTGTCTCCTGCATTGCGCACGGCTCACCTCGCAGCTAACGGAGCACTTGGCGGGGGCCTCCGTCCTCCACGCATCTCTGCTGACTCTATCCCTTTGTTTCTGTCTGCGTGTCCGGCGCTGGGCTGTGTGGGCAGCCCTCCGAGCACAGCGGCCACCTCAACTCCAGCTCCCGTGCCTCTTCCAGAGCCAGCTCGGCGCGGGCCAGCCCCGTGGTGAGTGCCACGGCCCTCTCCTCCCTCACTCCTGGGTCCTGCAGAGGGAAGCCTCCACCTCCCAAAGCCTGAACGCAGACCAAGTAGCAAGGCTTTTCTATGACTGGTTTCAGGTCTGCGTAAAGACAGAATTGGGGGTGGGGGGTAAGGGGGTGGAATGCTGCCAAATTCAGAATGTTACCATTCAGTGATACCAGAATTGCATGGCTAAATTTCTGAATGACCAGGTAAGGAATGATTAACAGTGCTAGGAGATGGGGCCTTGCTGGGAGAAGGTCAGCTTTGAACAGCCGGGGAAATGTGGTCGTGTGCATTGATGTGCTTTATTTTTTTATGATTTAAAAATTCGAAGGATTAACTTTTAACATTATGTTTGACATGTTGTCTGTTATTTGACCCAGACGGTTTTAAAAAAATAAAGTATGGGCTTGCCAGTGCCGTGCCATCCCCAGTCCCGCTCCACCCTCCCAACCCCCCAGTTCTCAAATTGTTCAGTGAGTGTCAAACTGCAGAACTGCACCCGTTTGTCACTCGGTACAGAGTGGCCCAGGCTTTGCTTTGGAATATAAGGGGCCCTGCTGTCTAGTCCCCCTCCTCGGAGTCTCGTTATGTGTGTTTCCCAGGGTCTTTGGAATTTTAGGCAGTTTGACCTCCTCTGATGCTTTGTATGAGGCTGTGATACATTCTTGGGACAGTAGGGGCTTGCAGGGCAGTGTGGCCCAGGGAACACTCGCCAGTGCGGGGACTGGCACAGTGTCCAGGGGAAGGGCGTTCGGTGGGTGGGAGCTGGGGCTGCGTGCCGTGCAGTGTGCATGCCATGGGGTGTGCGTGCCCTGTGATGTACGCGCCCCGCAGTGTGCGTGCTGTGGAATGCATGTGCCGGCACTGCCCAGTGCACACTGGCCACACCAAAGGCCAGTGGCACCTCCCTGATCAGCCCTGGGTACAGGCCAGCAAAGATGGGCAGAGCCGGTCTGTTTTTCTCCTGCCCTCCGTCACAGAGAAACTTGAGTGTGGCTCTTTACCGGGTCCCACGACACCACAGTCAGATTTGGGATGCCTAAATTTTGGCAATGTTCCTGGTAATCCGAGAAGAGGCCATGGAGCTGAGCCATCCGCTGGCACCTGCGCCCGTTTGTTTGGTCTTTAATTAGATAGTCTTTTAAAGCTGTGGGGTTTCCTACCAATGCAGATGTCGGCTGCTCCTAGGCAAGCAGAGGGACCCCCAGAAACTGAGTGGGGTGGCCTCGGCCCCCGCTCCCTGTTGGCCCTGACTCCAAGGCCAAGGCCGGAGCTGGTCATCCCTGGGCTTGCACTGGTGTTTTCCTGATAGGAGAGAAATGTTCCTCTCTACCATTCCCCCGTCGAGGGGGACCAAACAGAAGATGGATCAAGAGGGCAGGTGTTAGGACAGGAGGGCCCGTTTCTCTGTGGAAATGAAGACGGCCCCCTAAATTGAAGCTGCAGACACCAGCTCTGTACACGTGTCACCTGCCCACCCGTCCTCACTGCCATTTGAGCCCCCTGCCCCATCCTGGAGGCCAGCAGTGAGGGACCTAAGAGAAGCCACATCCTGGACTCTCTCAGGTGAGTGGTGGCAGACACGCACGACCAGGTGCTCACTGCTCGCCAGGACTCATCAGGCAGGAAGAGTGACCCACCCAGCTGTTCGTTCTTATGTAACCTCAGTTTTTAAGATTCCTTCTCACACATATTATGTAAATGACCAAAGGGCAGCATTTGCGAACTCAGAAATTTCTGCTCACTGAGGCCAGCCAACCTGCAGCCTAGGCGGGCGTGCCTGCTTCCCGTCCGGCTCTCTCGCCTGAGTTTTCATACTCTGCGGTAGCACAGGTTGCGTCAACTCACCTATGTGAAACCTTAGGACCACTAGGAACAAAATTTCTCCGTGATAAATGTAATGGCGAGTCCCTTTTCCTTTTGTGTAACACTCTCTTGCTTAGTTCTTAGGAAAAATATATATAAGTATTCACAGTTGCCAAAGAGGCTGTGGTTTTACCTTCAAAGAATCCTAAGCCTCTAAGTGCACTGCCTGGTGTGGCTCAGGTGGGGCACGGAATTGTAATTCCGTGATTATTTGACATGTTTGGGTTCTTCCCTGCGTCATGATGAAGTCTCAAAGTCACAGGTGTCAGCCTAGTCACGTGGACTGAAGACTTGAAATCAGGTACAGGTTTCTGTGTCATAAGCTTCTAGATTTGTGGGAAATGTACTCACATAACACGGGTTTTGTAGATGACCATAAACAGGGGAGTGGGGAACGTGCCCAGTGTCCCTGGGTCTCTGTATCTGGGGGTGCTGGCGAGTTCTGGTCCCTATGCCCTTGGGGGAGGGGGTGCTGCTGCTTCACCAGGCACCATGGAAGGAACAAAGCAGTGGGGGGAGGAGCTCCTGGGCCACCTTCAATCCCAAAGTTCTCTGTTTGTGACTCCCTGAGTTGATGGCTGAGGAGACTTCTGAGTGTGCCCGCTTTGCACACTGTTTCAAGCTGAGCTCTCAATGGAAGGTGGGCACAGAGCCCTAAGCAGACAAGAGCACCAGGTATTTGATGGAGCTGTTTTCAGTTCATTGCCCGCAGATAATCAGTTCAATCATTTTTCTTCTCTGAGTCAGCCGCTCCTTTTCAAAGGTCAATTGACTGTTGTACAGTTGGCACATTTAGGGGGCGAAGGTCAGCACCCTGCAGACCGTGTGGGATGGGCTGTCCTCCGGCGCCATCTGGGCACCTCACACGGGGTGGGGACTTCAAAGCTGAAGACACCGCTGTGTGTGGTCCTTACAACCCCAGAGACATCTCTGTGACATGCAGAGCAGTTCCCCAGGGAACAGAGTTACAATGGCACTTGATCATCTTGAGGGTCTGGCATCTGCAGAGTGTAGAAGGCAGAGCTGAGTGGCCCTCTGTTCCGCAGTTTCCGAAATGCACAGTCCTCTTCCATGGAATCTGCACCGTTTCTGTTCCCCAAATCTTGGCCACCCCACCATCGGAGCGGGGCGGGTGTTTGTGTTTGGGGCTCGCTAGTCCAACAGAGAGCATTAGTGGGGGTATTTGGCCTGAGTGGAAAGAAGCCAGGAGGGTGGCATTCACGTTCCCCGGGTCCTCCTGCCTGGGAGGCAGAGGCAGTAGGCGCGGGCAGTGCCCAGGGAGCGGCCCGCTGGGGTGAGCGACCCGCCCAGCCTGGCCTCTCAGAGGGCCAGGCACAGGAAGGAAGGAGGGAGTTACAAGAGCCATGTTAGAATGTCGCAGCTCTCACTGCCGGGTGGGGAGATGTGGCCTGGCATGTAAACGTCCTGAGCTTCACCTGGGAAGAGGGGGTAGCGACGCCCTTGAGAAACAAAACGGAAGGCTCCAGCACTGGCAGCTCACTTCTCCTGGGCGAGTTGTCCAGGACCAGCAGGTGGTGGCGCTGGCCACTGCGGTTTGTGGGAGATGACCCCTGGTCTGGTGATACGGATGCAGGGGCAGTGTGAGTGAGGACGGGGGACAGGAAACAGGAGTGGGGCAGGAGGCAGCCCTGAAGGGACCTGGGTGAGGAAGAAAGGCTGGTGCCCCGAGAGAGGGGCAGGGGAGCGCTGTTACATGGTAACCAGGTGAAGGACACCACAGCCTGTCTCACTGCAGGAAAATAAAGGTGCCTCAGCATCCAGAGCTGCGACATTGGCCCTGCCGCTCGGTCCCCCCAGCCTGGTGGGAAAGCCGAGAGGATGCCTGCCCGTCTCAGAAGGACACACGCTATTCCCGCTCCTTCTCACGTTCCCCGTTCTGTAAACGAGCTGGAGTCTCTCCTCCAGCAAGTCCGGGATCTCCTTCTAAAGGTTCATTCATTCCGCCAGTGTTTGAGCACCTCCAGTGCTCTAGGCACCGGGCTCCTGTGCTGAGCAAACAGACCTGGCGCTGCCCTCGTGGACGCACAGACGGCGGAGACGACACTAAGCAGATGAGCACGTGCAGTCGAAAACTCAGCAGCATGGCTCCCGGGAGGGGCGCAGGGAGCTCCGAGGAGGTGGCATCCGGAGGGCTCATAACCCAACCTAAACACACCCCAGTGGAGTGACACCAGCACATCTGTGTCACCCAGGCCTCTGCATCCTGCATTCCTGAACCGTCCATCAGGACCGTCCTGAGCGGAGCCCAGTTTCGCGTTGCCTGTGTGTATTCAGACAGACATGAGTGAGGAACTGGCCGATCCGAGCTGGAAAAGCAAACGTCCGCAGTGACTCGTGTTTTCTGTTGCATGAGGGGACGGGGGCAGGGACCAGGTAGAAAAGCTGGACTTGCATTATGAATACGAGAGTTCAAGGACAATCCGTAAAGGATAATGTCATTATTACTGGATTTCAACCCAAACTTTCCACCCTAACGGTAGGGTTTATACAGGGTTTGAAGGAAATCCCTCCTTAAAACGGGTGTTTTCTGAGCAATGTACTTGACTGTCAGTTTGTTTCCTGGAGGGACCGTGCCTCTGTGATCTCACTGGGGTCTGGTGTGGTTGCTGGGGGCCGGGCACACCACAGGCAAAGCTCCTTTCCACCTGGCCCCTCCTGGGGTCTCTCCACGCCCACATGCTGCATTTTGTCTCTAGGAAGGGGGCAGGTCGGGCGGCAACGTGGAAAGCCTGGCATGTAAGCCACCCCAGACGTTCTGTGTAAGCCAGCCTGGACAGCGCTCGGAGCCCGCTCAGCTCGCCATCTAGTGGAGCCTGGGGCCTGCGATGGCTTCGGGCTGCGGCGAGCCTGTCCACGGGGCTCCACTTGTGTTTCTGGGAGCTCTAATAGTCAATTGGGCACCGCTTGTAATTCGGGACACAGACAAAACAGTCATATCGACTGGAGGCAGGAAACGGTAGGTAAGCGTAGATTGGCCGCAGCCTTCCCGGAGGACATGGTTTTTCCTGCTTGGTCCTTTCTTAGCCTAAATTTTCACATCCTGAGTCCGTCATGTATTTCAGAGCAAAGCCTTTTTCAAATTATTTTTAAACCTTTCTTTAAAGAGCAAGATTTGGTTTCAGGTTTTTTATTCCTTATTGGATGTTTCTCAGATTACAACAGCAATGTTTGTGTTTATAGTATCAAGCGACATGTGGAGCGAAGCTGTGTGAAAGGCCCCTGCAAACCAATAGTTTTTGGTCTGGTGTATATTTTTTCTCATCTTTCTCACAAAAAAATACAAAAAACATGTAGGGTTCTTCTTCTGTTCAAGGGGGACAGATGTCTTGGAGGTGAGCATAGGATGTCTGGAGCCTCGTTTATCTACGCGGTCTTGACCTGTTGCTGAAGAACAGGCAGAAAACATACCGTTTAAACTGCGGAGCAAAGCAGCTTCTCAACGGCTGCCTGACAGTCTGGTGAACTGGATCTCCTCATTCTGCTAATAGTTAAATTACCCTCTTTCTTCTCTTTTTCTTGTTCACTTGATTAAATAACGTTTGAAGTCAGCCCAGTGCATTGGTCTGACCCGCCCCCTTTCTTCCCATCTCTTTAATACTTGTCCTACAAGCTGACTTGTTTTCAGGGATGAAGGCCTTGGGCCCAGGAGGATTAATGGATGGACTTCCAGCAGACCAGGTGCTGGACAGTTAGCTTCTCCTTTATTGGGAATTCCCAGGAATATTTTTATTCCTAAGGGGAGAGTTGCTAAAGTCATCACAACTCAGGACGTAGGTCCAGGGCTCCCTGAGGCTCTGTCAGGATGGTAAGATAGAACCATCCGGATCGGAGGCCACCTCAGCGCCCCAGAGTATCTAGAAAGGCTGAAGTGGCATGCACATCTGAAAAAATAATAACTACATGTACAGGTATGTGGCACCCAGGTGGGGCGTGCGCTGTCTGTAATGGGATGTACCTGCCACCTCAAAGAGTGAAAAGGGGCACCTGGGGGCCGAGACTGTCTGCAAAGCTCTGTGAGACACACAGGCCTGCACTGGTCCTTGGAGGGCAGCCAGCTGCAGCAAGGAGGCTGCCCTGGGCAGACAGAGCATCAGGGCCTGAAGCCCCACCAAGGGGCTAACCTGGGAGTGCCATCAGCCTGCCCTCGGGTCCAGCCCGCCGGCCTGAGGGATGTGGTCTCCCCTCTCTCGTCTCCTCGCCTGCCCTTAAGACCCTAAGGAGACGTTAGATGGCAGCAGGGAGTTTGTGCTGAAGACTCACGCATGGGCGGGTGGGTGATACCAGGTGCTTTGGGAGACAGACCGCGGGCTGAACTTGGATCTGTCAAGCAGGAGACCCTGGAGCTTGGCGGCGTGGAGCCGGGAGCTAGTTTTGGAATTGCCTTCTTTTGGAGAAATCGAGTGTGTTTTCCAATTCCATCGGTTCCCTTTGGTTGGCTGGTTAGCTGTCACACTTTGCTGTGTCATTTTAGTAGTCACTTCAGGTACCCTCCCCGCGGAGAGAAAGCTGAAGGTAGAGTTGAGAGGCGAGAAGGTGGTGGTTAGGGAGGCTTCTTGGTAGGGGACAGGCTGGTGAGGGCATGCAGACCCACGTGGGCCCCGGGTGGGCATGAGACAGGAAGTGGTCGTCCTCACAGGACATCATCGTCTTTACGGCATCTTGACCCGTGCTTAGTGCCTGCGCCCTTATACGCTCCTGTGCCGATGTCCCTGTGGACAGTTTCCACGGCCGTGGCCATGGGCCCAGCTCCAGCAGGATTTCCCCACCTGCCGAGCGGACCGGCCAGGCGCAAGCATGCCGGGGTAACCACAGAGCCCCAGGCCACCGGGCAGTCGTGACTCAGCTGTGCTCTGCACTTGCCCCGTGCATCGGCAATGGACCCCTGAGGGTCACATTGGAGAACCTCTGAGCTACAGGAGGTAGGACAGAGATAGGACGGGAAAAGCATGAGTGGCAGCTTATCCCAGACAGTCGGAGACAGCTGAGCACAGGGCTTTCTTATCGCTTGTGACCTTCCCAGTGGGCTTATGGACAGGAGCCTTCCGTTTGCGAAAAAAGGAAAAAAAGAAAAGAAAAAGAAAAAGGCCTTTTGTTGGACGCTGAGCAAAGAAGGCAGCAGCACCAGCCTTGGCCTTTCCCCCGCGGCACCCGCACAGTGCAGGAGTCTCCCTGGGGTGCCCTCGCTGATGCTCCTACCTGCCGAAGGGAGAAGAGGGACCCCGAGAGTCGTTCAAATAGGAAAGACAGAGCCAGATTCTTGGGAGTCCCACATTTCACCTGGCAAATTCTCCTGTGCCCTCAGCCCCCATTGTTTAAACCAGAATTTTCACATCGACTCAGTCACTCATGAGAAGTAGAAAAAGTTACACTTGGCTCACTGCTTTTTCTTGCTTCAGAGGCCAAGTTCAGTGATCATCGAACTTAAAACCCGCTGTGGTTGCATCTTGCAGCCCCCAGGGCCCCGCTCGCTCGTATTCTCGCTCTAATCATAGCCATTGCGGTGGGTAAATGAGCTTGGAGTTGGTGGTCCTGTCCTGCATGGCGACGCCCACAGAGCCACAGGACTCTGTAAAGCAAACCTGTTCAGGTTCAGTTCGCGAACAAGCCCTCACTGTGGACCTCTCTGTGGTCGCTATGTATTTTGTCTCGGCATCATTACGTCCCTGTGGAACCATAAACGTTGGACACCCACGCGGCGAAGTTCAGCCCGGCCCTCAGCTGCCTGTGGGCCCTGCTGTGTCTGCACCACCTGGCACAGGTGTATGGGAGAGTCTCATGGGCAAAGTGGTTTTTAAATTACAAAGGAAGCTAATATGTCCTTTTATTGTCACCTTACCCCCTACATCCATCTTATCCATTTCATGCTGTAAGTCATATTTGTCCATTTTTTTTTCCTCTCCAGGTTGAAGAGAGGCCAGAGAAAGATTTCACAGAGAAGGTAAGGAATTTCTGCAGGCCTTTATATTACGTCACTGATAAACCTAGTGGGTCCCAAAATTTATGGGTAAAACGAACAAGAAAACATGTTGCCTGATCTGTAATGTCCACTGGTGAGTGAACAGCACTAGCGTGTGGCCCAGCAGCCCATGTCACAGCCTTTAGGGAGAGGGCGGGAGGTCCCTAGGCATTGCTTCCAGTGTGATGTTAAGTCCTGCACAGCAGGGAAGGAATTTACAACAGGCCCAGCCAGTGGAGCTTGAGGTTAATCCAGACAAACTCCCAAGCATCCGTGGGGTTTCTCACAGTGAGCCTGCCCTCACTTTCCGTAACCCACTGAAGATTTTCAGCTGGGAAACCAAATGCAAGTAAAGGCACCGTAATTAGCAGACTTACAGGTCATTTTGGTTTTGTCTATAATCACGTTTGATCCTTGCAACATTCTAGGGGTCTCGCAGCCTGCCCGGCCTATCCGCAGCCACACTGGCCTCCCTGGGAGGCACTTCCTCTCGGAGGGGAAGTGGGGACACCTCCATCTCCATCGACACTGAGGCGTCCATCAGGGAAATCAAGGTAAGGCTCTCAACGTACTGACGACCCTTGATGAAAACCAGTCTTCAAGGAAAAAAGATTTAACTCGTAAAGTCCCAGATCTTTCTACTCGGTCCAGTCTCCCCTCCTCTCACGAACCCGTGCTCTAGTAACACCAAGACCCAGCTCAGACATGGCCTCCTACAGGAAGCCGTCCTGACTGCCCCTCGGAGCAGATCTGTGCCCGGGCCCTGGAGCCGCCGCAGCCGTGTGCGAGCCCTGCCCACCCCGCACGCGCGGAGGTGCTGGGCTGTGCTGTCCACCTGCTCCTCCGCCCTTTCCTTTCTGCCTCTAATACGCCTTCGGGGGGCCTCGTCGTTGAGTTTGGGTGTTTTCTTCTCCCACTGGAGTGCGGACATTATTCTGTTACATCCTTAACACTCGGTGTGAGCCAGGCGTGCAGGAACACTGTCAGGGTGTCAGAGAAATGCAGACTGTTTGTTAAAATAACTAGAAACCTGCACCGGACAAGGAGGTGACACAAAGGGAAGGTTAATGTCTAGAATTTGTGTCCTCTGAGAGCCGAGGGAGGAGCTGAAAGATCAGGTTTGGTTTCATTGATGGAAACGCTTTCTAATCATCAAAACTGGTCAAGAGAACCAGCTGCCACGGGTGCTGTCCTAACAGCTGGAGGACCATTTGCCAGGGAGGTCAGAGAAGGGACTTAGGCATCAGGGACGTTGGACTCGGCTCCCTGAAGATGCCTTCTGACACCTGCGCTTTACTGGAACAGAAGAGCGTCTTTGGCTGCTTTTCCCAGAATGCCCCCAGGCCGTTCCTGGGCCTCCTGTGGTTCCGTTCATTCTCTACCCGATCAAAGGGGCATTTGCTGACATCCTAATTTGTCTCTGCTCTTAGGTTGTGAGGGGGGTGGTGACAAGCAGACACGACACGTGGGGGGTGAGG